AACACCCACCCATGTAGTAGGATTGCTCGAAGACTCAGGTCCAAGGAAGACAAAGGAAGAGCGCGAGCAAGAAAATACTTTCTCGAGCAGATTCACACGCTCACTACTCAATAAACTAGGGGACTTGTGTTGAGATAGATTACCCCGACCTGCCACTGTACAGGAACTCGAGACATTATTTGGTACGGAGCCCAATCAATGAGGCCCGTTTCGGCCCATTTTTGGCCATCCGGCCCACCTTGCCCCAACAGGCCCACCTTGGCCGCTTGGCCCATTAGGGTGGAGCACCCCTCCCCCTTTCCTCTATAAATAGGAGGATTCCCCTCCTTATTAAGGATCCACTTTTCTCCTCCCTCTCTCTTTAGCTAGTTTATACTCCATTAATGGAAGCTTGTACATTGTAATGGTGAGGAGAGCATTAATAAAATGAGAGGGCTTGGACATTATCCTAAATAGTCCCGTGGTTTTCTCCCTTTCCGGGTTTCCACGCCAAAACAGAGTGTTCATACTAATTTATATCTATATTTAATATATCGTGTTTGTGACACCGCACCCGGATGTATTTGAATTTGAAAAAGCTGTGTTCATACCAGCTTTTGGCCGCTTTTCGCTTTAAAAAAGTTTGCGATCGTAAACAATTTCAGATTTTCTACAACGCTTGAACTTTCCGCATGCAACTGGTAATTTGGCATCAGCCCAATCATTAACAAGCTTGTCATGAGGATGTATCTCAAGCCAATTGAACTGTATGGCGAATTCAGGGAAATATATCTTTTTTATGTGAGCATAGAATCTCGGCATTCCATCAGCTGTTCTACTTTGTTCATCACAACTTGATTCCTAGGCTAGAAGGGAGATTCACACCCTCTAGAGTTGAACTGGCCTATATGTACCTTTTAGCCAACAAAATCCCTATCAACCTTCCCGGGTTAATGATGGCTCATCTAAGTTCTACCATTAGTACCTCATCCCGAAGGATTGGGATTCCATATGCCCCACTGCTTACAAAAATATTCCTATCTAAGGGCATTGCTCTAGACAGGTTCTCCTCTGAAGAAGCCTGCAAGGTCCTGGACAAGAGATGTCTTAGCAACCTCGGTCTCATTATATCAAACTCTCACCTACTTCCAAAACCGACCGATCCATCTTCTTCAGAACAAAAACCCAGACCAAAACCAACTCCTGTTCCTTCCATCGACCCAATGATGGTGGTACCCCCAATCACTGACCGCATAGATCTCCTGGAACGTTATATTCAACACCAATTTGCTTCCCTTTCAGACTCCATCTCTGCATTGGCAAAAAAGGTGGACACAATGGCTGATTCAACCAATGCTATTCGGAATGATTTCCAATCCTTCAAACAGGAAGTGGCGGAGCGGCTCTGTGAATCTGGCTCGACTCATCGGAGAATAAATTACTCTTCTGAGGATGATTAAACATTTTTTACTGGGGAAGGGTTTTGCTACATAACATCTTAACAAACTGTCCTACTTTGCACTTTTACTTGGCACTGTTTTGGTTATTTTCTGTTTCCTTTTGGTTGATGCCAAAAGGGGGAAATAATCAGGTGCCTGCTTATTATTGCTACATTAAAAACCTACTGTTACTTTATTGCTAAGTTTTGCTCAAGTACTAACCTGCAGGGACTCTTTTGGCACCATAGGTTTGTCATCAACAAAAAGGGGGAATTTGTTGAATACGTTTGTTTTGTTGATTACTAACCATACAGGGGAACAGCGGATAGAACCGCTCACAGTTCCTTGAATAAAAGGAACGAATGGATATTATTAATTTGATTGACTAACCATGCAGGAGAAACTAAAACACAATCCGTGATATGATTTGAGTTAATACGGATTGTACCTACTTGTTCTTTTATTGCTATGATTTCCTATATATAAGTAATTATTCTCTTTCCACAATTGATATAGCTTAAGTATGGTACATAAAATATTCCATAGCTACACGGTTGTGACAGAATAAAAGATGGTTGAAATATATTCCATATCTAAATGAGTTGATTGCTTATATTGAGAAAAATATTCTTACCTTCTTGAATATTGACCAAAGCCTACCTTATTCGGTAATTAATTGATTGACTCAAAAAGATGCACGAGATATTTGTATCTAGTCTTAGTCCAGGGCCGATATATATGATGGTTAATCCGGCTGCCTTAAACATTGAGCTCGAATATGGGAAGTATTATAAAGAAGGAAAGCAATTCAAAATATTGGAGCAAGTCCCAAGATTAGAAGATCAACTATTCAAGGAAGGATGCTTAAACGGTCTGCCCAAGACAGCCTATATAAACGAAGAAGCCAAAGAGAAATGGGTGTGCTTGACTAAGCTTCTGTTGAGATATTTACACTAGAATATTTACTAAGTCCAAGGCACCTGAACCTGCTCACGGAGTTCCAGACTGAGTTTCCTTTTCTTTCTTCTTATTGTAATTGGGTTTTTTGAGGATTGGCTAAGTGTAGCATCCTCGGGTCGGTTAGTGTGTTGTGAGAGCTTTGTTGTAAAACTGAGAGGCTCTCTACCCGCAAGGTAGAGATGCATAACTCTTCCTAGAGAGGATAGAGTTGGGGTGGCTCAAGGGTAGACTAGAAGAGTTTCCCTTGTAATCATTCAAAGGCTTTTTAGTGAAGTTGTTCAAATTCCTCCGAGGGAGGTCGAGGTTTTTTAATCTCTTTGAGCCAAGGGATTTTTCCTCGTTAAATCCTTGTGCACTTTATTATTTCGTAATTCCCTAGACCCCACACACTAGAACTGTGCGAAAAACTGCCACGGTTCCACACACACACAATTCATTCCCCCCCCCACCCCCCTCTTGTGTTGCTAACCGTTTCATCAGCGATCGTAAACAATTTCAGATTTTCTACAACGCTTGAACTTTTCGCATGCAACTGGTAATTTGGCATCAGCCCAATCATTAACAAGCTTGTCATGAGGATGTATTTCAAGCCAATTGGGTGAGTATTTTCACAAATTATGTAACCGGTAACCCTTTCACAAATTAATTTTTTATTTAATATCAAGAAGTTTTGTAAAGCTACACCAAAATAAGTAGAAAAATTAAGGATCATGTTGTCCTTCGAAAATCCAAAATAATTCAAACCACCGAACTTATGATTCCCGTTTAAAGCAGTACCTTAGAATCTCGATAAATCCGATCCATGGAGTTCGTAAAACTCTTTTTCGTGGTATGCCGGCAATCTGTCTTTCAAGTGATAAGTTCATGGAGTTTGTTGATCAACGTGGTCTCTAGTGGTAGCATCAATTCTACAATATAAAACTTCTATTAGCAACTTGATAATAAGAAAATTAGCTATTAGCATTAGTATTTTAAAATCAATAAATTGTGTTTGGGAATAAGCTATAGATAGATATCTGATTACACGCACATATATATTAGTGCTTTCATCATTCTGACACAACTGTAAATTGGGATGCTAAAGTTAGTGTTATATACTTATATACCAAGCGGTTGTCTAATAGAGAGTGGTCTATTCCAAGCGATGTACTCCAAACAGTTATACAACGTCAGGGGCGGATCCAGGAATGAAGAGTGGGGTGGGCTAAGAGAAAAAATGTTACTGCAGACAAAAGTTTTAGCTTAGGGCTGTTATCGAACCGAGCTTTTTTCGAACTTCTCGAGTTCGAGCGTGCTTTCAAATTTAATTTAACGACCTGAGCTTAACGAGCTTTTTCTAACTTGAACACGGACTAGATTTTGAGTTCGAATAGTTATTCAAGCCGAGTTGGAGCATAGTGATATTCGGTTCAATGCGGATTCGAGCCCGTCGATAACTCATAAATCATAGGAATAAATTTTATTTATCTTAAAATTTAAACATTTTTAGTGCGATTTATAAATCTATTTAAACACTAATAAAAGAGAATCAACACTAAAAATTTAAACATTTTTAGTGCAATTTATAATAATAATAATAATAATAACAACAACAACAATAATAATGGTAATAATAATAGAAATAGTATATGCCCAAATAAGGATAGTGAATAAAAAGTGACGTAGTTATTTTAATGATTATAATTATGTTTAATTTTTACAATTAGAATGCTTACAAAAGTTACTAATAGTGACTTGGGTCAAAAAAAGTATGCTTATTTAATGTTAGTAATATTTTTGGAAAAAACTCTTGATAATAATAGAAGTAATAATAATAGTAGTATTAATATTAACATAATAATAACAGTAATATAATAATATAATATTAATCATAAAATTAATGTTTAGCATAATCATGTTGTAAACTTGTAATATAAAGTATTATAAATTTCAAGGGTCATTCTTGGTGTACACAAGATGTACACAAAATATGTACATTGTCTATGTACACACTACACATGCAATTAAGGGGGTTTTGGTATTAAATCCTGCACTTTTTTAAACGAATTGCATATGTACACATACAACTAGGTTTTGTGTACACTAAGAATTTTTCAAATTTCAAAAGAGTACATAATTGATGGTGTGGGTGAGTGGGTGAGATGAGATTGCATAATTTGCAACATTAGCTATATACTCAGTATGTAAAGTCTTGCTCTTCTCAATTTTTCCCACATCGGCTGAAGAGGATGTTTCCCCCTCCTCAGTGCCATATAAATAAACCATTCCTTGTTTTAATTGAAGAAGTCAACGTTTAGTTAAGTTGTCATAAGTCCATAGCTTGATTGTTACGCACCGGGACCATTTGTTGTCTTGGCTACGGGCTTTATAAGTTTGGGTCGCCTTTTATCATGAGGTTATGGCTGCTGCTTTGGACCTGGGCTGAGCGGTAAATCTCTTTCTATATTATTAAGAAAAAATTGGGTTGGGCTGGGCTGAAGCCCACTCCTGTCCCTGCATAGATCCGCCCCTGTACAACGTGGAAATGTGACTTCTAGAATTGCGGAAGAATTTATTTCATGTTTGATGTCATATCGGCACCTGGATTACTGCTTATACATTTAAGCAAAGCTCAAGGTCATCGCTTTTGGCCGCTTTTCGCTTTAAAAAAGTTTGCGATGGTAAACAATTTCAGATTTTCTACAACGCTTGAACTTTCCGCATGCAACTGGTAATTTGGCATCAGCCCAATCATTAACAACCTTGTCATGAGGATGTATCTCAAGCCAATTGAACTGTATGGCGAATTCAGGGAAATATATCTTTTTTATGTGAGCATAGAATCTCGGCATTCCATCAGCTGTGTCATAACGAGCCCACAGTTGGTCAGCTGCGAAGCAACTCTCTTCCTTGTCCTTGTCAAAATCATGGAATTCTGGATCAGGGTATGTATATGTCTGAACCGAATCATCAACATTATTGAGATCTGAATCTGATTCGCAATCGATAATAACTTCAAACTTTTTGGAACCATTTGAGGTTGAGCCAGTGGCATCATCTGCATCAGTATTTCCTTTGTGCAGGCTTTCAGGAGGCGCTACATCTTCTGTGTATGGAACAGATTTGGAATGCTTCGAATGGAAATCATCATCCTCAGTTTCATTGTATGAAACATCCTGCCTTCTCCGAATTGATCTCCTCACATTGTCACGCTTAACACCAACTCTCTGCACACCAGAATGACTTCTCTCCTTTTCTTCAATGTCAAAATCTTCTGACTCATCATTACTTGTTGAATAACAACTCTCACTTGATTCAGATGCACATTGTTTCCTGCCCCTTTTCTTGCTCTTAACTCTTGAGTCTTGTGGACTTTCATTGACCTTAAGTTTCTCTTTACTCCTCAAATCCTTAAACACCTGAGAAGCGTTCCCTCTCTGTGTCCCTGCTTGTTGGTGGGGATACTGAGGAACTGCGGATGGATTTGCAGTCGGTTTTGTAGATCCTTGATTTTGAACCACTTTTTGCTTGCAATTCTGCTGACTAGCTTGACGTGCACCAAAGAGCTCTACACACTATCTCTCGTCTATACTGATATCTCACACTACAGAAAGGACAGCTAGTCCAAAATGAGCTTTCATCAACAGATTGTTAGACTGGTGATTTTACAGAAGGTGAACTGAGTATTGAGACCGTTAGACTCAAAATTTGACCTGGGGGCAGGGGGGTTGACTGGATAAGGTGGCCGCGGTTTTACAGAAGGACCTCCTCTGACTGATAATTTATGTTTATTGTCATAAATAGATCTCTTTGTCTTGTCTGAGAGCACAAGATTTGCCTCTCCGATCAGCTTAAAAGCAGCTTCTGCACCAGGGAATTTGTTCTTGTCAGGGTGAAGGACAAGTGCAAGCTTTCGGTACTGCTTCTTGATGGTCACTTCATCTGCCAATCTATCAACTTGGAGAATTCCATACCAGTCCTTGTCCAATCCTAACATATTGGTTCTGGCTGAGCAATGAACACTACAGACGGCCAGCAACTGGTTAATGTTATCTAGTTCTGGATAAAGACGCTGGGCTTTCATTGCAATTTTATGGGCACCTTCAAATTCATTGTTTTGCATTTTACTCTCCGCAAGCTCCCTGGCCTTGATTGCTTCATCCTTGTTGCACTCCATTAAAAATACTAATAAATACACTAACCACTCAAATGCCCAACTTCCCAAATGAATCTGCCATTTTTTTCATGCCCAAGTATATGTTTTCCGACAGAGACGAGAGCTGCGCAAACGTAGATCAAACCCTAGAAACCGAGTTCACCAACTCGACTAGATTTGGGAGGAGATCTAGATGATTTATTCACGATGCAAAGATGCAACCGTGTTTATTAGCAAACCCGTCGTCTGGCAGCCCGGGCATGTACACACATGAATGTATGTCTAGATTCAGAGGTCGAAGGGTCGAGACGGGTTTGAATTTTTTGGGAGCGAAATGACAGTAATGGTGAGCAGCGGCGGGAAAGTGAAGAAATTTAGAGTGTGGGAGGCAAGTTCTCAAATCTTCGGAAAATTAGTAGGAATAATTGGGAGGAATTTCTTATGCCCACTTCCTACCGGTCAAATAACTCTCAAAATAATGGGTAGGGGACAAGATGAACAACATGGAAAGTGTCTAGTTGGTGGGAGGTCTCATGGAGACAACAAACTCATATCCATGACTTTCCTACACAATTATTTTGTGTGATTGAAAGGTAATCCTTCCACCACCCTCTTGAACCATTCAAACCACCCAAAACCAAGATGAACAGAGAGAGCTTAAGGATAACACTCACAATCAAGAGCTCTAGAGGAGAAGAAGGGATAACAAGCCAAGAAAAACTAGCAAGAAAGAAAGGTAATGTTGGAAATATAATGGAAAATAAAATAAAATTATATTTTGAGTGGTCTCAATTTTGGGTCCTGAGATATATGTGTAATATAAACATATGTAATGGGAGTGACTTATTATCAAAGTACAACTTTCATACTAGGATTTATTTCATTTGATGATTAGAATCCGTAGTTGTAAAAGTTATAAAGTGAAATATTAAAACAGTGAATTGTTATCTTATATCATAAATAGATGGTCTATTAATAAAATATTATGTGATAAGGAATATCATTCAAGTATAATGTAAGGTAGTTTGAAATATTATTCCATACGCTCAGGCCCACTCGGGATGATGTAAAAGTGTATTGGAAAATATCTCAAATTAAAAAGCCATTTTATTTGTGGACAATAATTTTGAAATGTGTTATTATTATCTTAATAATGACAATAAAGCAGTAGCTTTTAAGCTCAATTTGAACGTTTCAAATTGTTCAATTTGAATGGATATTTAATTTAATAATAAGCATGGTCAAGAGTTGTTAAGGATCATTAAAATTATGATCATGAATAACCGTTACTTCCCATTTGTACGATTGTATTAGTTTTTTTTCTGATTTCTAAAAGGAGTAGTGCGCTGCTCATGATCAATTCACCTGAAGCCATAAATATACCCTTTAAAAGGAGAGCACTCACTCCTTGTTATTTCTCTCTTCTACGTGCTCACAAAAGTCACAACAGAGGAACAATATCTTTTTTCTTTATTTACCAATACGTGTGCTTGTCTCTAGGTGTGTTTTTCCTTTTCAAGTGGAAAAGCAAAGGTCTATCTACTTCATAATCTATATTCCTTCTTTTCCGGGCTCATCTTTTTTTTAAGGCATTTTGGGCAACGGTCGAAGGTTTCAGTCAAGGTAGCTACGAGTCTGAAACGTGGTAGGATTATCCTGGGAGCGAGCTAGCCAGACCCGTCCGAGTAGCTATCGGGATACGGGGGCTATTTTCTTCAAGGCCAGTCCGTTTTAACGAGCGATCCTGCGATAAGCTTTCTTATCCTTTCTATTATTTCATTTCATTTATTCTAATTATTACTCCCTCCGTTTCTGAAACAAGTTCCACCTTTCCTTTTCGGGCAGCTTCAAAATTAAGTTCCACTTTCAAACATTTCCTTATTTGGCAAATTATCTACATCAAAACAGTGTCAAACAGTGTTCAAACAGTGCCAAAAAGTGTCAAACAGTGTTCAAACAGTGCACTCCACAGTAAAGTCAAATTTATTTTCTTAATATGTGTGAAGTCAAATGTGGAACTTGTTTCAGAAACGGATGGAGTATTTGTTTAATTTTGTTCTTGCATTTGGCGGTTTGTCTGGTGATTAGTTTAAGCTCGGGATTTTTATCTGGTTAAACTCGCATTTTAATATCACTCAACTAACAATCTTGAAGAAAGATATTATTTCTCGAGTTTTAGAAAAATCCAAAAATGGCAAACTTGGAAAATGCAGTTGTTTCCGAAAATGTTGTTGTTGAGAATGATGTGAATGATATCCCTCAAAATAATGTTAATTCTATTTCTATGACTAATTGTGGAGACACACCTGAGTATGTTGCTACGGGCTCGCACAGGGTTGATTTAACCGGAATGCCGGAAAAAATTTCTGGGCATTTTTTCAAGCGTTGGCAACAACGCATGAAAATTTGGTTAATCACCAAGGGCTTGCTCTCGGTAATTATGACGGTGTGTCCCCCCGTTGTTGAATCGGATCCCAAAAGTCTTGAACGCCAAGCTTCATGGCGTGAAAGGGATGAATTTGCAAAAGGCATGATTTTGTTGGGTCTCTCCAACATGTTATTTGATGTCTATTGCACCCTCCACGGCACGGCTAAGGACCTTTGGGATGAGTTGGATAGGAAATATAATACTGAGGACCACGGTCTTGAAAAGTACATTGTTTCTAAATTCCTACGATTTGACATGAAAGAAGGTAAATAAGTGTTAGAACAGACACAAGAATTTGAGCTTATCTTACATTCTCTTCGTGAAGCGGATATGGAATTGCCTGAAAAATTTAAAGTGATGTCGGTCATAGAAAAATTTCCCAAATCATGGGAAGATTTTGGTATGACTTTAAAACATAAAATGAAAAAGATCACTTGGAAATCTTTGATGCATTCCATTACTGTTGAGGAGGAACATAAGAAAGCGGGTTATGTTACGCCGGTTGAATTTCAGCCAAAGGCTCATGTGTTGAGCGGGGGAAAACAGTCACAAAATTCTAAAAATAAACAACCACCATCTTTTAAACCAATAAAGGCCAAACTAAAAATTATACCGAAACCAAAGGCAAACCGTCCATGCTGGAACTGTGGACAGATGGGGCATTGGGCCAAATTATGCCCAAATAAAAAGGCTAAGGCTCAATCTGTTGGATCTCAAGTCAACATGGTGACTGGAGTAACTAGTTCTGATGGGTATGTTTATGTTAACCCTCAAGTTTTCACTATCTTCTATTATACAAAACGAAGTGGAATTGCTGCCACTTTTCCCGCCCATTTCGCCGGGTCAAAAACGGGTCAAGTATGTGAAAATCGGATTTTTGAGGATTGGGTCCACATCAGTTGACCAGAATGCTTTTAGTTCAAATTTTCGGCCTTTTTTCTCAATTGAAAACGTGTTGCTGTGAACAAATTTAATTTTGAGGTGGTCAAACGCATTTAATGCGGGTGGTTGAGCATTTAATGAGTTAGTTGAGTGGACTGAAGATTGTTACACGCTGGGTAATTCAGTTTCATGGCAAACCCTAAATTTTGAATTCCCTATATATATGTAGTACTAAGTAAATCTCATTTCAAACTCACCACCACACCATGACAACAAGCAAGGAAAACACTCGGCCTAATAATAGCGATTTGTATTCCATGATAAAGGAAGTTGACCTCACTAGGTCAACTTGGGCTCTCAGAGTACGGGTGGTAGGAGCTTATGAGGTTCCATCTCATTCCAAAGGAGATGCAAGGCTGGAAGTAGTTTTTCACGATGCGGAGGTAATTCAACATTCGTTTATGCATTTTAAATTGATACTCAAGCATTTAAATTCTCAAAAATTCAACTTTATAACACTTATTCAAGTAGCATTGCAGGGGGGCCGTATTCATGCAGTCATAAAAAGGTCGTTCACGCATCTGTATAGAACCAAACTGGTGGAAAACCAATGTTTCAGAGTCAAGAACTTTTTAGTTCTAGATAACAATTACAACTACAAAATGAGATTGTAATATTATCAACCTATGACTTACAATGCTTTTAAAAAACCTTTTGGTATTTTCGATTTTGTTATGTCTATTGGTTTGCAAGTTAGGGGTGACTAACGTTCACATACAAAGTTAGAAACATTTTAGCAGAACTACAACGCATGAATGGAGGAAGCCACAAAGATTGTGATATGTAAGAACGAGACACACAGATGGCATGGTTGAATCACGTTGTGTGATTGAAATTATAGGCAGCAAATTCTTTAGAATTGTAATATTCGTAGTATTTGTAATTCGTAATCAGAAAAGGCATTTACATGACTAAAAATGTAACATTCGGTTTTTATAATAAAGTTGAGACATTTTATGTTACTTATGAGCCTATAAATATTTTTAAAATTAGTATTAGCATATAGAAAATCCGAATTACTAAAAATGATTATGAAATTTAAACATCCCAAAAATTCTCACTTTATAAGAAAGAACATTTTAATCAAATAAAAAAGAACGTTTCAGTAATAAAGAACATTTCAATAAGATAGAACATTTTAAGAAAAATTGTGGTAAAAAAAGACATAGTACTTAATTTAATAACTAACTTTATGAAATCCTGAATTGTACAAAACATATGAAAAGATAACAAATAAATTTTCCCAATTCTGATGAAAACATTGCAAAAGCGTATGATGGATAGTCTACCCGGGGGGTATATATCCGAGGGGTTATTGCTGAGAATAACTTAGAGAGAAGTCAGAGCATAAGTTAGTACGAAAGAGAGTGTATTCAGTATGAATGTCGTGGTTACAAATGGGGAAATGCGGTGCTATTTATAGTGGCAATAAATGCCGGACAGGGACACGTGTCAAGCGCCCATTGGCCGGGAGGTCACCTTATCCGGTTGGCGCTGGCAAACGCATGTGGCCGCATTTAATGCGGCTGTTGGATGGGACGTTGTACAGGGTACGGTGATCTGTACGCATGTGAGGCGGACATCATGTCGGGAGAGGTGCCCTCGGCTGCAGAGGACTAGCCGAGGGGTCTTGGTGCCGAGGACCCCTGAGTGTCGAGGGCTCCAGATGCCGAGGGCTACTGTTTTCCGCCGTTTTTCTCCCAGTTTCTTAGTTTGCTTGGAAAACCCGTTCTGTGAGAGTTTAGAGCCTTCGGCCGGGGGGCCAAAGGCACCCTTGGTGCGCTTTGCGGGCTGCTTGGTACTCTGGGCGCTGTGATTTGGGCCTGTTGGGCCTTTTGGGCTTTCACTGGAGTAGTAGGAGTCTGTGGGCCGGGTGTTCCCGGGCCATATACTCCATCAGGAATCCCTCACTCCTTTTGCCGAAAGGTACTTGAGGGAAAAGGAGTAATTTGTGTCTTCTGAGGTTGGTTTGTCGCTTGCACGTCCCTGCCGAAGGCAGTCCCTCAGTTACCCACATGTCGGGACTTGAGTGCTTGCTTTGCCGTTTGTTGGAATTTTTCACCAATTTTGTGATTTAATGATTTTCCCGAGGGGGTCCTCCAGTCCCCCACTCCTTGAGGCACTTGTAAAGTGGTGAAAAGGAGTAGAGTAGTTGCGTTGCTGTTGTGGGCCGAAGGCTGACGCTTTTCGTTTCATTTTGGGGGGATGCCTCGTTAAAAACCTCATTAGGAAAAACCCTGTGGGAAAAAATCCTGATGAGGGAAAAAGAGTGCACCGAATTCCCCCAACGATGAATCGAAAATGTGAAACCTTGGTCAAAAATGGAGAATAACGGTAATGCCGAAGGCTCTTCTTTTTCTGAGGGCTCATGTGTTGATTAGCCGAAGGCTTGCTGCTGATGTCATGGGGGGTGCCGAAGGGGAGCCCCTCAATCTGGGGATCGAGGGCGTGAGGGATGAGGGCAGTAGTTGCATTGTCACCGGGGGGTCCCCTGCTTGTTGATTGGTTGGTGATGAGGATATCCGAGGGCTCCCATTACCTGCATGCTGTAGGCTGTCCGTCAATGAGGCATACTTCCCGGGGGCGATTCGGTCCTTACGGTGCTGAGGGGGAATCCCCGAGGGGTGGCCCTATATGAAGCCTTGGGCTTCTGTAGAAGTGATGCCGAAGGCGTCCGTTATGTACTGTGTGGGCACAAACCGGGGGCGTCTCTGGGTAAGTGTACCTGGAGGCTCTCCTTGATGAAGTGGAGTGATGTGGGAAAATCCGGGGGCTCAAAGAATGTAGCCGTTGGAAATATAGCCGTTGGAATATGTAACGTCAGGATATAGCCGTTGAGGGGGTACACGTGGAGTGTAGCCGTTGGCTGCTCGTGGGCGGGCGCCACCGGTTGGGTGAAATGACGGTGTGTAATGATCACTCTTGGCCGGAGGCCCAGTCTTTGGGCCCAAGCCCGGATTCTAGAGTCTATAAATACCCCATGGCCAGACTATTCTCCTTGTGCGTCCGATATTGTTAGCGAAGCTCTGCCAAATTTTCTAGAGAGAGAAAGCTCAAGCCCCCGGTCAAAACTCAGCTTTCAAGGTCAGTGACCTGCTTTCCTCTCAAAACTTTTAGTAAGTTCCGCCCTCTGGCCTTAGATTAGGGTCAGAGTCCTGTAGAAAGCCTTCGAAACCTCACGTGCGTATTTTGTCAAAAATGTCGTCCGCGAGCGATTCCCAGGACATCTCGAGGGAGCCCTCGGTTCAGGACGAGGTTGCTTCTGATGTTGAGTCAACTAGCAGTGCGCCCTCGGTTGCTGATGACGAGGCCGTAGCCTTGGAGTTGCAGAAGGCCCTTGCTGCTGAAGTGGAAGCCGAGGGCTTCGAACAGGAGTGCGAAGATGAAGAATTAGCCTTCGCGTACCAGGTGGCGGAGGATGAAGCTCAAAAGGAGGCGATGACGGTCACTGTTGTTGTGCCACCCCCTCGGAATGACTGTGGTGAGCCTAGTACCTCCAGGTCGTTGGACCCTACGCCTCTGAGGATAGCCCTCGACAATAAAAGGAAGATGAAGTCGAAGAGGGCTGCCCCCAAGAAGAAGGGTGTTGCCGTTGGTGCTGGGGGGCCCGTTGAAATGCCAGAGGGGTATACCTGGCTAAATACCGAGGCCCTCGATATCAAGTCGAAGGCGGACAGGGCTGATTTGTACGTCACGCAGCTGCACGTTGGGCCCTCGGCCGAATTGGTGGAGCCAGGCGTCGATGATTTGCTGTCCCGGCCACCCGAGGGATGTATTGCCGTCCACATCCTGTCGGTGTCAATGGGCCTCCGGTTCCCCCTGCACCCATTTCTCCGGGAGTACCTCAGGTTCGTTGGACTCATCCCTTGCCAACTTACCCCCAACAGCCATTCATATATTGTTGGCTTCCTGCACCTGTGCCGAACGAGGGATGTTACCCCAAGCTTGGACCTCTTCTTCCAAAGCTGCAACTTGTGCCGAGGGGGGCACGCGAATGCCGAGGGCTTCTCCAATTTGCAGCAGGTAGCGAAGTTCAAGTTGTTCACTAAGGCGCCCTCATCCAACAAGGGCTGGAAAGACAGATGGTGCTATGTCCGGTTGGCCGAGAACCCCTTCCCGAGGGAGCTAAGGGACCGCTTTCGGTGCCACGAGAAGGTGGGGAGTATCGCCCTAGAGAAGGATGGCCTGGAACTCGCCAAGATCCCGGAGGGTCGGAAAAAGAACATAACCATCAAGGAGTGCACCCTCGAGGAAGACCTATATGCCCTCGGATTCCTGAGGTATCGGTTCATTGGGGAGACCGATGAGAAGTATCCCCTCTATGATAAAGCCTTCGGGGGAGCAAGAGGTAGTGGCCGAGGGCTATGGCTTTTATACTTAGAAAAAAAAATTGTCATGTTTGTCGTTGTGTCTCTGACCCCTCGGTTCTAACCTTTTAACTTGTTGTTGTCGTTCTTTGCAGGTAGCAAGATGAATGCCAATGCTCTGTTTGCAAAGAGGAAGGGCAAAACCCAGGAAAAGAAGAAGGGGCCCTCGGCCAGAAGCCAGCCGATGCGTTTTTCCCGAAGGACGTAGAGCCTTCTGTTGAGGATGTCAATGCTGCTGAGGGGACCGGGGGGTCGAAGGCCGAGGCGGCCGTGAAGAAGAAGAGAAGTGGTAAGGGGGTGGAGCCCCCTACCAAGAAGCAGAAAGCCGCTGGGGGCGCTGTTGAGGGGGCGGCCCCCCTCATAATTATTGATGACATGCCCTCCACTGATGGGCCTCTGGCCTCGGCCACCCCGAAGGCTCCGGTGAATCTCCCCCCGGAGGAATTACCCCGGGAGATCCTTCAACTCTCCCTTGCCCCCGGTGCTTCACTGATGCACGGTACTGCCGAGCCGAGGGACTTCCTACGGGGCATCACCTCGAAGATGGATAGAGAAGTCTTCGAGACATACGACGATGATGCCCTCGAGAACAGGATCCTCCGGTCCTCTCTCACTGTAAGTATCTGCTTCCTGTTTCCTTCCCTTATCAATTTAGTATTTTTTTCTGGGGAATAATCTAACTCCTTTGATCATTGTTTGCAGGCCTGCATAGCCCTCGGGGAACAGGCCGGGAGGCGTGAGGAATGGCGCCTTCACGAGGCCGAGCAAGATAAGAAGATGGAGGGGCTGATTCGCAAGAACTCTGAAGCGATGAAGCATGCTGCGCAGCTGGAGGAGGCCCTCCGGGAGGCGAAGGCGGCGGCAGAGAAGGCCAAGGCTGATGGCATAGCCGAGGGCAAGGCAGAGGCCGAGAGGGTTGCTGCCGAGGTGGCGAAGAAAGCTGCCGATGAGGCCAAAACCGCCAAGGAGGGAGCTGTGGCCAAGGCCCGAGAGGAGGCAGTTGCTGAGTTCCTTGCCGAGGGCTGGAAGGCCGAGGGCCATAAGGAGTGGGTGGCCTCCGTGGTGGCGGCCTCGGTGGATGCTTGGGTAGAAGGCCCCGGGGTTGACTGGCTGACAGATAGGGGCGACGCCTACTACCAGGGGGGTGAATTCTTTACCCAGCATCTGATTTACCGGAGGCTCGCCAGGCACTTTGGCGTATCCCTCGACCAATTTGACCCCTCAGCATACGGCCTTCCTCCATTGCAACCAGATGTGAGAGTTCCCCTCCCCCCGGGCGAAGAGCGGCCGACGATATACGACTCTGTGATGATGGGGGGTGATGGGGGCGGATCCGTCGGAGGTGATGCTGCTGGGGAAGAAGTCTCCTCCAAAGCCGCCGTAGAAGATGCCCTCGGAGATAATGATGCTGAAGTCACAGAGAAGATTTGTACTTAGTCAATTTTTGAAAAATCTTTGTAATGAACCTTTGTCACCCCTCGGCTTTGGCCCGTATGTAATAGTTACATTGACTTTCCTTTTGATGATTGATGGATGAATGCTAGCCTTCGGGCTTTTGTATATGAATGTGTTGTCCTTCTTTTCTTTTGAATGTATGCCTTCTCCTTCATGCTTTCCTCTCGTATGAAAGTATGGTAGTTTAGTGATGGCCGAAGGCCATGTTATTGGGACTTAGAAAATTTTCTAAGTGTTGTTGTATCGCATAGCCTTCGGCTATCATATTCCCTTAGCTGTAATATTGATTAGGCCGGGGGTCCAATCTTTAGGATTTAGAATTTTTTTTTTATTCTAAGTGTTGCTTCCTTGTGTTGCCTTCGGGTGATGGGTGCCCTCTGACTCGGCGTCACTTTTGCGAGATGCCCGGGGGCTACTCATTTAGGACTTAGAATATTTTCTAAGCGTAAATTGATGTTGAGCTTCCAGATGTAGATCCCTCCGGGTATATGAATAGGACCCTTCGGGTGATCGTGATGTCCTTGTGTTGTATGAGTATTTGGCCGAGGGCCAAATATGTGGGGCTTAGAAAAATCTCAAAGTGTGCCATAGATGTTGAACCTTCGGTCAGCGAGGAGTTTGTCTGAGGGGCAGATATTTTGAATTAAGCCCCCTCGGTTGGCCTTTGGTGATTTGTAATAGATGCCTTCGGTTGTCGGGTGACATATTAGCCTCCGGTTGTTTTCATTTTCCAAAAGTGTGGACTTAGGAAAAGTGTGGAATCCTGTTGTTGTAAAGAAAGCCGATGAGGAGTATGTGCCCTCGGAATTCACTTGAAAAGTTGTAGAGTTTGACTTAGCCAGTTATGTCCCTCGTCATGGGGTAAGGGCCCTCGGTATTAGTGCGTAACAGATGCCCTCGGTATTTGTTTGAAGTACTGTTTAGTAGACTTTGGATAGTCCAGTCCCTTTGTATTGTTGAAGCCTTCGGTGCTTGCGTGACTGGAGGTGACCAAGCAGTGGACTTAGCCGTTTCTTGATGATATTTGTTTGAGTAGTATCCTTCGGGAAATAGGAGCCTTCAATTACCGGAGGTGTTCCCGTGGGGGGCCCTCGGCATGTTGTGATCTGTTGGAGTACTCTTTGATTTCTCGCTGAGTCTACTCCCCTTCACCCCCTCTCTTTTTTTTTTTTGGTTGGTGGTGAAGGGAAGGCATCAAGAAACTTGGTTTCTTGGTAAGGCTGGGCCTATCAGGAGACCATCAGAATACACCAATGGCTCTCCTCCCTCGGGTTAACCTTCCGAGTTCTGAGGGGATCGAGGGTCGTTTCCTGGGTACAAGATATGATGGTCTGTAACCTGCCTCCCCTTGGGGGATGGCGCGGAAAGCGCCTCAGTTTTGAAAGTCGTCCCCTCGGCGCTAGACATAGTCCGTGGCCTGCCACACCCTTGGGGTGGTGGCGCGGGGAGCGTTTCGGTTTGGAAGTCGAATCCTGGGCATTTCTCGTGCCTGTCATACCCTTGGGGTGATGACGCGGAAAGCGTTCCGTTTTTGAAAGTCGAATCCTGGGCATTTCTCATGCCTGTCATACCCTGGGGGTAGTGACGCGAAAAGCGTTTCAAGGAAGGGTTTTCATTTGCAAACCATTGCAAATGGCCGGGGGCACTTAGTGCCGCCGGCACCGATGGTGGCGCCTTCGGTATATGCGTCCTCGTGGGGTACGGCTTTAGAAACAACACTTGGTGTTAGCTTCGATATATAGCCCCCGGTACTTGGTACCGAGGGGTCTTCTGTAGGAACACTTGGTGTTTTCCTTTGTTGTAGTTGATGGAGGTGTCTACCCTCGGTACTTGGTACCGAAGGGTCTTCAAATGAAACACTTGGTGTTTTGATTGGAGTGTTCGCTCTCGGCGTTTGGTGCCGGAGGGCCTTCGGAGGAAACACTTGGTGTTTCCCAACAGATATTTGGAAGTTGATAGGAGTGCATATCCCTGGCACTGGGTGCCGAGGGGTCTTCTTTAAAACATTTGGTGTTTTTCTTCGTTTTGATGTTGATGATGGAGGTGTACCCTCAGCACTGGGTGTCGAAGGGAAATGAAACACTTGGTGTTTCTTGTCGTTGGTGATGGGAGTTCCCACCCTCGGTACTTGGTACCGAGGGGTCTTGTTCGAAAACACATGGTGTTTTCACTGTTGTTGTAGGTGTTGTGTTGATGGTGTCCGCCCTCGGCACTTGGTGCCGGAAGGGGTTCTTCTCGTGGTGAGGCCTGGGGCCTGTAGTCAGTATGAGGGCTTGGTGTCTTGAATGTGTCTTCATTCCCCAAAAGTGGAGGCCTTGGGCCATAGGATAGTACATTCACTAGTTATGAGGGCTTGGCCGCTCTTACATTATTGGTAAAATTTAACTAAATGGTGTACATTCCAGTGCCTAGGGACCTCTCTCCCGTTGGGGCGTTTGAGCTTGTAAGTCCCAGGTTTGATGATGGCTGCTATGATGTAGGGGCCCTCGAATTTTGGTGCCATTTTTCCTCCCTCGGTTGGTTGGCTGGCTTCCCTCCTCCGGAGGACATAGTCCCCCACTTGAAATTCTCGGGTGCGAACCTTGGCGTCGATGTAGCCTTTGACTTGCCTTCGGTAGTTTTCTGCCCGGATGAAGGCTTGCTCCCGGCGTTCTGAAAGGAAGTGGAGGTTGAGGGCCATGTTGCTGTCGTTGACCTTGGGGTCATATTGGATCACCCTCCGGGTGGGAAGGGTGACTTCCGTAGGAGCTTTGGCTTCAAAACCGTAGCAGAGGGAGAAGGGTGTTTCTCCTGTTGCTCGCCGAGGGGTGGTGCGGTAGGCCCAAAGGATGTTGTGGAGTTCTTCCACCCAGCCACCGCCCTCGGCCTCCAGCTTCTTTTTGAGGCCCTCGAGCAAGGTCCGGTTGGCGTTCTCTACATGCCCGTTGCCTTGAGGGTAGGCAACGGAGGAGAAGGTGTGTTTGATGCCCCATGCCTCCAGAAGGGCACAGAAGGGGGCTGCCTCAAATTGTGTTCCGTTGTCGGAGATGATCTGCTGGGGGACGCCAAACCTTGTGAGGACGTTCTTGAGGACAAAATGACGGCACTTCGCCTCTGTGACACTGGCGAGGGGCTCAGCCTCCACCCACTTGGTAAAGTAGTCGATGGCCACAATGATGTACCTGTTGTTGGAGGTACCCCTCGGCAGAGGGCCTACAAGGTCTATGCCCCATCGAGCGAAGGGGACGGATGTGCTGATGGGGGCATAGTTGACCGCTGGCCTGCCGGGGGCTTTCTGGAAATGTTGGCATGCGGGGCATCTTCGGGCAAGGTCAGCACAATCCCTGGCCATGGTTGGCCAGAAGTAGCCTTGGAGAATGAGCCTTCGGGACATGGAGAAGGGTCCCTGGTGAGCTGAGCAAGTGCCACTGTGCACCTCCTCCATCGCGACCTCGGCTTCATCCTGATGAAGGCACCGAAGTAGCGTGCCGTTGTAAGACCGTGTGTAGAGCCTTCCGTCTTCGATGGTATAGCTAGGAGCCCTCAGTCTTGCTAGTTTAGCGCGGGTCTCGTTCTCGGGTAGCTGCCCTGTGGAGATGAAGGCGGTGATATCCGAGATCCAATCCTCTTGGCGTTGTTGTATGTTCATGACGGGGCTTGCATGGATACTTGAGAGGCTGAGTTCCTCCTTTTTAGCAAACTTGGAGATGTGCTCGGGGGAGTCGGCCGAGAGCTTAGATAGTATGTCGGCCTCGGAGTTCTGAGCCCTCGGTATTTGGGTGAGAGAGTGTGCCTCAAATACCTTAAGCAACTCCTTGGCCGCTTCCTTGTACTGTTTCATTCTTCCCTCCTTGGCCTCATATTCCTCGTAGATTTGGCCAACGACCAACTTGGAGTCGCATTTGATGTGGATCTGCCGAGCCTTCATGTTGGCAGCCAGCAGAAGGCCACATAGGAGGGCCTCATACTCGGCCTCATTGTTGGAGACTTTGAAAGAGAAGCAGATTGCATAGTAGGCTCTGAAGCCCTCGGGAGTAATGAGGACTACCCGTCCCCCGCATGCTTTGGTCGCGGAGGAGCCGTCGGTGTAGAGGGTCCACCAGTCGTCCGAGGTAGCCGAGGGCTCCCCGTCCGTGGCTGCCCTTGCGGTACACTCCGTCACAAAGTCCGCCAGGGCTTGGCCCTTGATGGCAGGCCTCGGACGGATGTCAATGTTGTACTGGCTCAAGAAGATAGCCCATTTCACCATGCGGGAGGAGCTGGTGGGGCTCCTCATGAGGGCGCCGAGGGGTTGATGAGTGAGGACCTGAACCGGGTGAGCCTGAAAGTAGTGGCCCAACTTCTTGACGGTCCAAACGATGGCTAACACCGTTTTTTCCACAGGAGAGTACCTGAGCTCGGCCTCCCTTAGGGTTTTGCTTACATAGAAGATGGCATGTTGGATGCCGTCTTCCTCCCGGATGAGTACGGAGCTGATGGTTGTCGGGCTGACCCAGAGGTAGAGGTAGAGGGTCTCCCCTGCCTTTGGTTTTGAGAGCACATGGGGTGAAGATAGATATCGTTTGAGCTCGTCGAAATCCCCCTGGCATTCCGGAGTCCATAGAAAGCCAGCCGTCTTCCTCATGATCTGGAAGAAGGGTAGAGACTTCTCCGCTGATTTGGATAGAAAGCGGTTGAGGGCTGCCAAGCGGCCCGTCAACCGTTGAACTTCCTTCACATTGCGTGGGGGCTCCATGTTGATGATGGCCTGGATCTTCTCGGGGTTGGCCTCAATACCCCTTCGGCTCACCATGTAGCCCAAGAATTTGCCCCCTTGGACGCCGAAGGTGCACTTCTTTGGGTTTAGCCGAAGGTTGAACTTTTGCATGATGGCGAAGATTTCCCGGAGGTCGTCGGCATGGCTGGAAGATTGTTTGCTCTTGACGATCATGTCGGCAACATAGGCCTCCATGGTGCGCCCTAGGACGGCTTGAAAGACCCGGGCCACCATCCGGGTGTAGGTGGCCCCCAAGTTCTTTAGGCCGAAGGCCATTACTAGGTAGCAGAAGATGCCCTCGGGAGTCATGAAGGCAGTTTTTTCGGCGTCTTCCTCGTGCATGAAA